GGAATGACCACACCCATAATAGAGGCGGGGACACAGCAATTCTTGTAAAAAGTCACATGAAATGTATGGAATTCAATCTACCAAGACCGCTTTCCATAGAGCATACAGAAGTTCTTATTTACGGGAAAACCAATGAAGCATTCTTTTTTATTTCAGTTTACAACCCACCGAATCATATTATGTCTAATACTGATATAGAAAATCTCACCAGTGCTGAATTTCTCTCCATTGTAGCAGGAAATTTAAATTCAAAAAGCCTCTCCTAGAACTCAAGTACCACAAATCAGAGCGGAAGAATTTTTAGAGACTTCGCTCGTGAAAGCGGGCTGCAAGTAATCAGCCCAGATTCTCCTACCCGAAATAACTATAATGGGACCACAGAAGTTCTAGATAGTCTGATACTAAAAGGAATTAGCCATACCTCTTATCTGGAAGTGGAAGAAGAACTCAATTTAGATCATTTTCCGATTAATTTTATTTTCTATGGTTTATATCCTCCTATCCCAACTCAAAAGAAAATTACTAACTGGTCAAAATTTAAAGCTCATTAGAAAATATCACATGTAACCCTCCGCTACAGGATATTTCTGATATAGAAATGGCAATTACGAGATTTCATCAAAATGTTAACAAAGCAATAGAAAATTCTAGTAAAGTCATTTCATCTACAAATCACTCTGAACTTCCACAAAGTATACTTGATAAAATTCAACTTAAAAACAGCGTCAGAAAACCATGGAAGCTTACTAGAGATCCTCAAGTCAAAAGGCAACTAAATCACCTAGGCGATGCAATAGCAGAATACCGATCTGAAAAATGGGATGATCTGCTATCTCATATGGAAACTGATAGAAATTCAATATGGAAAATTTCTCGTTCTCTTAGAACCAACGAATACTCCACCATTGGGCTACTTCAGCATAATAATTCTATTACATATACATAAAAGGATATGACAAATGCGTTTGCTGACTTTTTAGAACAAACATTTATTCCGCATATTGATCGAAAACCCACAGTATGATGAAGAAACCAATTTAGAAGTCAAGCAGTACTTAGAAAATCATAATGATCAAATTATTTATCCCACCTCACCTCAAGAAATTTAACAAATCATCAAAAATCTGAATATAAAAAAAAAGCACGCGGCTATGATGGAATTTCAAATAAAGCTATCAAAGAACTTCCACACAAGTGCAAAATTCTAATTGTGAATATCATCAATGCATGTACAAGAAAATAGTACTTTCCATAGCAATTTAAGCACGCAATTATTATCACCTTCCCCAAACCCAACAAAGATCCTAAAAATCGGCCGATGCTATTCGCACCACCGGTGCGATTAGTCGCTTAAGCTATTCGCACCAACATTAAACATGCATGCGCATTGAGTTGTCAGATCCGTCAATTAAACCCCATCGGTGTGGTGTGGTGTATTTAATTATGGCAAAGCACACTAGGGCTATCTGCCTAAGAGGAGGGATGCCTTTCGTGGAGGACTTTCTAAGGGAAACTGGCTCGTATACACGTTACACATGGGGAAAACCACGAAAACACCCATGCAGCCAGCCCGTTCGCGGGATTCGAACCTCGGACCGAACTGCCAGTGTTCAGCGACTTTACCGCTCGGCCGCTGGTGGGCTAAACCCCATCGAAAGGAACGGATTCTACGTACGCGAACTGTTGTAGTGAATCTTTTTTTTTTTTTTTTTAAAGGCGGGTTTCTACCTTGGCGTAGTTTATCATTTTTTAAGCGTTGGCGACTTTCAAAAGTTTAGAAAGGAAAATGGGTTCCTTTTCTTATAAAAAGAAGGAACACATTTCCTTTTATTAAAGTATATATAAAAAAGGGCAGATTTTTATGTTCGTAATGATTATCCTTTTCCTGACGGTTTGAATAGTATAATATCTGATTTGGGATGGACAAAATCTTGTTTACATTTTTTGTACTTAGAATACATTTAGCTTTGAAGATGTGTTTTGCGCAATCAAGACTTTAATTCATTCCTCTCTGAAAAATTTCATCCGATAAAAGATACTAAAAATTAGACAGAGGATTTCTGTGTAGAAAATGTAGACATGAAATAAGTTAAAAGCGATTATATCAACTATTAAATGAATTATTCTGTATGTCTGCTTATTTTTTTATGGACATACTTGGCATTTTCAGTACACAAAAACTGCTTCAAAGAACTTTGAAATATTAGTACAAACACATTAATCAATAAAATTGAAATAAATAATGGGATGTAATTTAAAAGTGAGAAATAATTTAATGTAAGTGATTTAGATTTAAAAATTTGCATACACATTGATTTATGAGATTTTGTAAGGTTTTATTTCATAAATAACTTTGATTTTGAAATATGGCAGTAGAACCTATTAACCTGTGTGGATACTGAAAATGTGATGAATATATAAGAATATTATCATTTTCAGTAAGTTTTCTTATTGAATAATAAATTCGGACAGTCCTATGCTATAAGAATTTGCATAAAATTCTAATTGCATAAAAATTCCTCTGTTAAATAAAAGAATTTAAGTAATTTCTGTAGCTTTTTTGTCAATACACTAAAGATTTTTAACTAATTACTCGTTCTCGCTTGCAATTAGAACCATCGTTAAATCCCTATTTTATGTAATCATTTCCTGAACATTATCATGTATATAGATTGACCTCGTCTTTGTAACCGATAATTATTACTTGCGAATTATTCTCTTGCTGGTGAACTATTAACAGCATTCGCTCTCACTACCGCCTGCCTTACGAAAATCGGCGTAAAATGCTGGTACCTGGGCTGATTGTGCGCATGTGCTAACGTAGGTGGTGTGAATAGCCTGTTAGCTATTCGCACCGTCGGTGCGATTAGCCACTGTGCCTAAAAATCCTACCAATTATCGCCCAATAAGCTTATTAACATGTCTGGGCAAGATCTTTGAAAATGTTATCCAGGTACAACTCAACGATTATATTTCGAAAAATAATATTGTCAAAAACAACCAGTTCGGCTTCAGACACGAACATTCAACACCTATGCAAATTTTAAACGTCCTTGAAATAATAGGAGAAGCCTTTACTAATAAATCATGCATAGCAGCCTGCTGTTTAGATATAGAAAGAGCTTCTGATCGGATCTGGCATACCAGTTTAATTTCCAAAATGATTTCATTAAGAAATTATCAGATTAATCAGTTCATATATAAAAAATCGAACTTCTCAGGTCAGAATAAAGCAAAAATTGCCAAAAAGAAAATATCTCAAAGCTGGAGTCGCTCAAGGATTGATACTTGCATCGAATTTTTTAAATTTACATATAAATGATCTCCCAGAACAAATTTTGTGTAAAACAGCCAAATATGCTGACGATACCATTATTATGTCGCGTTCATGGAAACCACAATATGCCATAGAAAATTTACATTTTGGAATTAATTGCATAAATCTCTGATGTAAGTTATGGAAATTCAAAATAAATACCAGCAAGAGGAATATCGTCCTATTTAGAAGGTATCGTAAAAATCTGCCAGTTAATATTAACATTACAATAGACAAACTCTTCACTTCCAGTTGTCAGTTCAACAAAATATCTAGAAGGCATTTTAGATGAACAATTAACGTTTAAAGATCATGTGGCATATGCTTTAAACAAAGCCAACGCCGCCTTCATGTCGATCTACAGTTTAATAGGGAGAAAATCAAAATTGAATCTCATTATTAAAAGAACTTTATATCTAGAGCTAATTCGGCCAATACTTTTTTATGCAGCTCCGTGTTAGGCCACCGCGCCAAAATATTATCGCCGCAAGGTCACAGTTCTCCAAAATAAAATCCTTAGAAGCCTAACAAATTCACCGTGGTTCGTCAGAAATCAGCAGATCCATCCAAAAATTCCTCATGCCCAAGATTATTTACTGATGACCGCGTATAATTTCTTCAGAAGTGTACAAAATTCAGAATGTTATTATATAGCACAACTCGCAAACTATGATCCAACAGTTGTGCATCCATTCAAGCGTCCTCATACTATTCATCATAATCCTGCATATTAAACTTCGCCAACGCAGGCCAAAAGTGCAATAAACTCGTTTTTCTTCATGCTCATAGTTAATAAATCTCATCAGAGGAATCGATATTAGACTAAAGACTGTGATTTAAAATGACAAAGTATTAGGACTTTTGCTTTGAAGTCTCCAAAGCGGGAATAGGACTTTGTTATACCTTACTTCAACCTATATTATTACTCTCAACGCTTTTTCATTATTCTAGTACTAGCACATTTAAACTTGGGAAATAATTTTCAAGTCCTCATCGCAAGAATACAATTTCTTGATATACAATTTACTTCATCTATGTTTATTAAGTTTCAACTTTATTATGCAAATAACATTTTTATGTTTGTTTTACTTAGATACTAATCACGCAAAAGCGCTTATTCTTCTATTTCCAGCTAAAGGCCTAAGAGCACAGCGCCAACTAATGGTCAAAACTTCTATCAAACTGACATTATGATATGATAGTAAAGAAAATTTACTGACTGAAGCAAAAAATTCTATAAGCTTCATTAAAATTTCGCCACAGTTTATATCAAACTGTGTATCTAAGCATTTTACAAAATGAGCGACGCGAAGAACCTGTTCTAATTAAATTTAACATATACAGAACAAGTACTATTACTAGTAACGTGATTATTTTTCTAAGGGGAATGGACTGAAACATATCTTCAATTAACCATTCATAGAAAGTATTACAAGCCCTGCAGCATTGAAAGCTGTAAATTAATTTTATAATTTGAGGAATAAAATGCAATCATTACTGAGTAGAATATTATAACGTTGATAATAACGCAATCCATCATATTAAAAACATAAAAATTTTTTCATCCGCTAGTAAGCTTAGCCGTCTAGCTACTCCATAAATGTTTACATTTGGAACTGCTAAGATGGAACACCTCCTTCATTATACTCCGTGACTCCCGATTACTGGAGGAAACTGCTAACTCTCCCTCTTTCTTTTCTAACCTTCTGCTGGCATCAAGTCGAACGTATTTTCATAAACATGGCTTTGGTTCCGATGTCGTCTGCTGTTGAAAGAACGTTGTTTATAGGACCGCGAATACCTAATCATGTCAAATCTTTACCAAAATATCTTTCAACAATAAAAAGGCCAGTGTTTCGTCAACTTGTTAAATGTAAGCTTGTTCACTTTTATTGAAATGTATGCATTTGATTTGTTGTGGGCGTTGTAGTATTCCATGTAGTTAATTTGATGTTTAGGAAAAAATTTTGATAATCCTGATATCACGGTATGAACATTTGATATCCTAAAAATAATTGAGAAGGTATAATTAATTATTATCTTAAAAATTATTTGCTTAGAAAGAATACTTCGTTTTCAGTTTTGCGAAGGTTATTTTTCACAGTATGATATTGAACGTGTAGAAATATGATTGCTGATGTAATTGTTTTATTTAATTTTTCTCTAAGTCTGTCAAAATATGGCGATTTCATTGAAGATTCGAAGCAAGCTGTATAATGTAGAAAATAGTGTCGTGGACAATATAAAGATTAATTTGTTCCTGAGGACAGTTCGTCACCCGAAATGTTCCCAAACTTAAACATTTTTTCCCTTAGAATTAAATATAAAATAAATTTAGCTGTTCCCATATTCCAAAGAAATGCTTGGAAAAGAATTCTTTGTATGTAAATTCATAATGTGAAACTGATGAATTCATTAAATCTGATATATAAAGAGTATTACTTAACGTTTTGTTCTATACCCAAGTAACACATTTCGGTTAATCTTTGGATTATGGTAACTTGGCGAAAATTTGGCGACCAACTCTGCTACAGCAACCCTCTATTTTTTTTTCGCCGCCATTTTGTCTCCACGAAGTAAAGACATGTTTCTTTACTTTTTATTTACTCAACACTTTTTTCCAACAATCCGCTAGCCGAATTACACTTATGCTAGAAATTTTATGGAATAAAACTGCTTAATCATGACAAATATTAACTGTAAAATTGGGAAAAAGTGCAATAGGCAGATAGCCCTCGTGTGCTTTGCCATAATTAAATACACACACACACACACATTGGGAAAAAGTGCAGAATCGCAAACTCCTTGCCGCGTTTTTCAGAATTGCACATACACAGTAACCATGTACACGTCGACTTATTTTTCCTTAAAAAAACATCCCAGAATTGCACAAAAATGGCATTGCGCACACTCTTGACTTTATCCATGTACACTGCTATTTTCTCATAAATTACAAAAATTTGCACGAAAATGCATGAAAATTTTGTGAATCTTTAAACTTGGTAAAAAGCACATATATGAAATTACCTAATCGCGAAAAAGTATATACCCTTTCCAAGGATGAACATTGCCACGTATAAAATAAATAAAATATCCAAAAACTTTTACCTCTGAATTATCTATTATAAACCTCATCAACGAATTTATAACACAAACATTAAAATGGTTGCAAATACTTAGTGTCAAATATTTAAATTATTTCCATGCACGTTTACTTCCACTGAAACGTATACCAAACTGCTACAAACATATAATTCACAAAATAACTATCATTTAATTAAGATATAATTAAACCATGTACACATCGACTTATTTTTACTTTAAAAAAATCCCAGAATTGCACAAAAATGGCATTGCACACACTCTTCACTACATCCATGTACACTGCTTTTTTCTCATATATTAGAAAAATTTCACGAAAATGCATGAAAAATTTTGTGAATGTTTAAAATCCGGTAAAAAGGACATATATGAAATTACCTGATCACGAAAAAGTATATACCCTTTCCAAGGATGAACATTTCCACGTATAAAGTAAATAAAATATCCAAAAACTTTTACCTCTAAATTATCTATTATAAACGTCACCAACGAATTTATAACACAAACATTAAAAATGGTTGCAAATACTTAGTGTCAAATATTTAAATTGTTTCCATGCACGTTTACTTCCACTGAAACGTATACCAAATTGCTACAAACATATAATTCACAAAATAACTATCATTTAATTAAAATATAATTAAACCATATACACGTCAACTTATTTTTACTTAAAAGAACACCCCAGAATTGCACAAAAATGGCATTGCGCACACTCTTCACTATATCCATGTACTGCTTTTTTCTCATAAATTAGAAAAATTTCACAAAAATGCATGAAAATTTTGTGAATCTTTAAATTTAGTAAAAAGGACATATATGAAATTACCTGATCGTGAAAAAGTATATCCCCTTTCCAAGGATGAACATTTCCACATATAAAATAAATAAAATATCCAAAAACTTTTCCTTCTAAATTATCTATTATAAACCTCACCTGCTAATTTATTACGTAAACATTAAAAATGGTTCCAAATACTTAATGTGAAATATTTAAATTCTTTCCATGCACATTTACTTCTACTCAAATGTATTCCAAAATACTACAAACATATAACTCACAAAATTACGATCATTAAATTAAAATATAATTAAATTAAAAAACAGTACTTAAAATATAAATAAGCGCATTCATTAAATTAATAAAAAATTAGCTTACAATCCTAATTATTTTAAACTAAATCATTGCTAATAACAATTTTCCAATAATACCATATTAATTTATTTACTCCTTACATTTAGAACAATGCATAAAAATAATATCCTCAAATAATTAAAAATACTAACTTACCTAATCTTCTTCAGAATCTTGATTACGTGGCGGATAAACTTTTGCGTGGATTGCATTCGTATGTGCGCCTGTTTCAGGATCTTTAAAATGATACTTATGGTTCACAGCAAGATGTTGAAAACCTTCATCCTCCAAACATGCATATGACTTCCAGCAATCAGATATGATTACTGTACCAGGTAGAATATACTGTTTAATAAAACTTAATAAGCAATCTTTACTTCTATCTCGCACAACCTTAAAAAAACACTTATTACTACCCCTTTCAATCCCACCAAATACCCATTTCGAATTCACTTTACACAGGGCCATGGGATCCAAAAATTAATTAACACTGTTTCACACAACACACAATGAAGCTTAATACAACATACTATAGTACTGCAGATATTTTTCCAAATTTCCACCTTTTTCCGATTAAAGAACTGTAATTCGTCCATTAATGTCACATGACATATCTCATGATCTCTCATTTCCCTCACACAAAATAATGCATAATCGGAACTGAGTACTTCTCACATTATTCCCAAAGTCCTAGGTAGTAACCTTTATTGCCTACCAAAATGTCGCCAAACTACCTGTTGCCATATTCCAAAGATTAGCCTACATGGCACCTTGTTATGCAAAAATATGCATATCATCTTATAAGTTTTCAAAGCAAAAATGCAACACTAGCATGCTCCATTGCATGGAGTAATCTTTGTTTCTGAAACATTTTGCATGTAGAGAGACTTTAAATTTACATATTACATGATTATTGACTGATTGTGCTATACAGTGTGTACCATTCTCTCATTGTCATAAAATTTCCCGGTAAAAGTATGTTTTAGGGTACCCCTTGGTGAAGCTTGGCGGTACATGGATACTGTGTTTGTGAAATTCTTTGACTTGTTATTTTGGCTTGTGTAGCGTCGATTTTCATGCCAAAAATCGCCGCTACACAAAGCCATAATAACAAGACAAAGAATTGCATAAACTCGGTATCCATGTACACATCAACCTACTTTCACTTAAAAAAACATCCCAGAATTGCACAAGAATGGCATTGTGCACTCCGTTGACTTTATTCATGTACACATCAACCTATTTTCATTTAAAAAAAATCGGATAATTGCACAAACTAGGCTTTGCGCACACCCTTGACTTTGTCCATGTACACATCAAACTATATTCACTTAAAAAGTCAAAGGAGCTGCCAACAAAAAATATATAATCTGAATAAACTACATTTTAAATCAAACAATGAAATAACATAAAAAAGGAAATTCATCTTAACACTACGCAAAGGAAATATCCTCTTACCTTATTTACGAATTTATGCGTCTTCAGTCAAACAGAATTCCTTAACAGAATCCAAATGTTTCCTAAAATTATCTGGACTAGAATCTGTGTACTGGTGTTGCCACATAAATTCAGAAAAATAAGAGTAAAAACTATCCGATGTTCGACTATACGCATTTCCTTCCTCCAAACAGGACACTTAATAATGGCTACTAAGTAAACCTTCATTTACGCACCAGTCAATTAATGCTTTTCTCCCTTTCATTCCAAACCCTACAGAAACTTCAAATTAATCTTACCACATTTAGCCAATTTACTGTGTAAACCACAAAATAACAACACACTTATCCAACACACACAAGCCCTTGCCCAAAATCCAACACACCCTTTCGAAATTTTTTCCCATGATTCAAATTCACCGCAACCAATTACGTCATAATGAGGTTTCCATAGCATTCAACTACTCAGGTTATCATAAATGAGACAACAACTTGGCGATAAATGAAACAGCAGCTTTGCGATAATACAAGGGGTACCCTAAAATAAACTGTAACAAATTGCTCAATCATATTTCTTAATTTAGCACTTAAATTGCATTAAGGGTTTGTATTTGCATGTTATGAAATTGCCTTGTCTTCATTTTGCTTTGCAAATCACCTTTCCTTCAGGTTGCTCTGAACAGTTGTGTGATATCAGAAGCAATTACCATTTTCTGAAATTGATTTGAGCTAATCAAACAAGAATCATTAGGGAAGGAATGTCACCATGGAGGCTGTTCTAAAAGAAACTCTTTCATTACATGTGAACTAGAATTCGAACCCGGGTTGAGCAACCAGTGTTCAGTTGTCTTATCTATGCAGCTACTGGTGAGTACTATACCAGTAGCTGTGTAATAATGTTTTTTATTCAACCTGGGAAGCTTTTGAAACATTTTGCTTTTTGGGTAGAGTAGACTTTAAGGTGCCCCTTGTATTATGGCGAAGTTGTTCTTTGATTTATCACCAAGTTGTTTCATTTATGGTAGCCTGAGTATCTGAATGTTATGGAAACCCTATTGTGACGTAATCGGGTGCATGATTCTGGGAAATTTTGAATCATGGGATATTTTGTAAGCGTTTTTGTGGTGTGTGTTGGTTTGATCCTTTAGACTGTAGAATGGCCAAATGTATTAAAATTAATTTGAATTTTCTGTACCATTT